TAAGCAATTTGTGCTGTTAATATTTTGTGTTTTTTAATGGAGGTAACATATGCAAAACTCTCAATCCTGAAAGACAATGTTGTCTAAGGCCTTGTTTACACAGGAAAATGTTACCTATTGATATAGTTATACAGGTATAGTGATACACGTATAGTTCTATCCCTTGCCCTCCACCCCCCATAGGTGGCTCCCCTCCCCCATACATTGGCCATGGAGACACATTTATTCTGGTGGCTTTTTTAGTTCTCTTAAACCACTTCTCAAGCAACATAAGCTAAACCAAAAGAAAAAAAAAAAGCCACTCTTCTACATGGGGGTCATACTTGTAGTACTATTGGTTTAAATTCACACTTTAGTTTATACCAAAAACTTTCCTGTATGGACAAAACCTAAAATTCCTAAGGCCTCGTCTAGACTAAGGTGTAAAGGTCTGATGTCAGCACACATTAAACACATTTTAAAAGTCTAGTGAAGACAAAGTACTTTGCCTTTAAAATGTGCCAAACTGATTAAATGAAAGCCTAGGGGGAGTATAGTAGGGTCCTATGGGTCATGGGCCAGGTCCAAACTAGGAAATTAGGTTGGTATAATTATGTTGCTCAGGCATTTGAAAAATCCACACCCGAGTGATGCAGTTAAACTGACCTAACCTCAGGTGTAGCCAGCACTATGTTGTTGGTTGTCCCATCGACAGAGCTACTACCTCTTGTGGAGGGGGACTACCTAGGCTGATAGGAGAAGCCCTACCATAAGCTTAGATAGCACCTTCACTAAAGCACTGCACTGGTGCAGCTGCGCCACTGCAGTGTTTTCAGTGTAGACCTGCCCTTGATGGGTAAAAAGGTGTGTTTCTCAACCACATTAGCTCAACTGAGTTAGCATAACATGAATGAAAAACATTTAGCACTAATTAAGATGGATGCTAAGATGTTTGGTGCTGTGTTAGCTGACCTATGCTCCCCTAGGCTTTCATTTGATCAGTTTAGCATCTGTTAAAGGCACAGTGTCTTGTCTACAGGGGACTTTTAAAATGTTAGTTATCCTGCCTTAAATCCTAGTGTAGGCAAGGCCATTGTGACTACTTGGTGGTCTTTTCTGAGAATCATGCAGGCACATGTCCCAAAGAAACCAAAATTAAATCTCTAATTCATTTTATATAGGTTAGTGAACATCATTAGATCGATCTGGATTTGAATTAATAACATGAAAGAGAAAGTGCCTGTGGCCCACTACCAGCTCCTTGAGTCATCTTATTCCTCATTATTTTTGTTGCACAATGCTGTTTTTAATGCTATAATGATACAACAGTATTTACATACCAGTCCTCATGTTCCTTTAATGGCTTCCATAACAAGAGCTGTGCTTCTTCTCACTCTTGTTTTGGCAAGTCTGTGTGCATTAGAATTTTACTCCTAGTTTGTCATAAACATATCTAAAATTGTCTTGATGTGCTTAAAGTTAAAAATTGTAAATGTGACTTGTTTAAATACTCTTGCATGGGGTCTCAGTTATAGGTTGAAACCTATTTGTGCAGGCACTGAAAATACTTATTTTGAAGAGGGTTAGGAGTTTATAACTTCAGCTGGCATTTTCAAAGGAGTTCTGCCTTGATGGGCAAAAACAATTGAAAATACATTTATCATTTCAATTGAGTTAGTGTAATATGAATTAGAAACCTTCTTAACACCCATTAAAATGCAGGGTGCTGCCTTGGCTAAGGCTATGTATTCACTGCAAAAAAGTGTGCTTCTAACTCAAGATAGCTAGCTTGGGACATGTCTACACTTGATGGTTTTACCAGTATAGCTATACCAGTACTCTATGCCAGCAAAGTGCTATGCAGTTTGTACTAGCAAAACTGCATTTTTACCTGTATATATGTTCCAGTCCCTCAAAATGAAATAAGTTTTAGTGGCAAAAGCACAGTTTTGCTGGTATAGCTAGGTCTACACTAGGGGCTTTTGCTGGCAAAACTAGGTCAGTCATAAATCCTGCCCAACACATCCCTGACACAGCTATCCTGACAAAAGTTTATAGTGTAGACATGGCCTTGATGTAAAATCCTAGTGGAGACAAGATACTTGGATTGTAAGCCTGTTGGAGGGGGGGACCATCTTTTTGTTCAGTGTTTGAATAGTGCCTTGCACAATGAAGTCCTGGTCTACGATTGGGGCCCTTAAGTACTATCCTAATACAAATAAAAAGCTATAATAGGAGTTTTACCTCAGTGTAGATAGTTGAGGTAAACCCTACATGGGGATTATAGCGATGACCTCAACTAGCTTTACTGAAGTAGCTGGTGTGCCTTGTCTCCACTGGCATTTTACATTGAGATACCTATCTTGATGTAAAAAATAGTTTAATTTATTTTTGCAATATTTCTGAAGGTGGCTAGTAGGAATTTTTTTAGGGAAGGGGGGGAAAAGTTTTGTTCTTCATCTGGTCTTTTACCCAGATGCTGGTGACAGCTCTAGCTTTATCTGCTCCTACTTTGTCAGTGGTCAGGTTGTGTGTAATGGCAGACTAACTCAGGAAGTCATGGGTACGCTGTAGGTGGGTAAAGACAACACATCAGCCAGTGCACGTACACTCTTCAAAATGCTATCTATACCCTTGTGCCTATACACTAGTGTAATAATTAAGACCATTCTTCTCAATCAACTGGGGCCCAAAAGTAAGGCAAAGTCCTAAAAAAGGAACACAATATAAAGAAGGACTTTACAAGTTTTATTTGACCTTATTTATTTGGGGTCTTTTGTGGTACTGAGCACCAAATTTCTGGGTTCCTCAGCACAGTTTTTAAATGAGTACACACACTGTCTGAGTCACTGCTCTATATATGAATGACTCAAATGCTGTAGGATGTTCTTTACCATACATAACATCAGTTTCATGATTCAGCATTTGTGATGTGAATCACTTATTTTCACACAGGTGAAACAGCATTGGCCTGGCCTGGGAGGAAGGTAGATGTGATTGTGAAAGGAGAGGGACTGACATTCCCTCAAAGTGTACAGCTGAGGGGTTGGGGTCCTGAAATACTCTGAGAAGCCTTGCTGAGGAGCAGCGCACAGGAGCTAGGGCTGTGTCAGACTGAGTGAGGGACACAAGTCAATACATCCAGAACAGAAACACATTCAGCAGAGTCTTTCCTGGCAAAGAGGAGCAGATTTAAACTCTGCAAAACTGACTCCCGGGAGGGAGGTGTGGGGAGGCAAGAGCAAAGCAGGCGCCTCTGGCCTCCTCCCAGTCTCTCTAGCTCAGCTCCTTCCCTGGGCCGGGCTGCGCGTTTGGGGCGGATCCGGGATGAAAGTCCAGCTGTGCGCTCCGCCGCTGGGGTAAATAAGGCAGCTAGCCGGCCCGTCCTGCTCAGGTACCAAGCCCTTACGGCATGACGGCATCTTCCCAGGGCGACTTCCTCGCCCTGTGCCCGGACGTTAGGGCATCAAGCCGCGTATCTCCTTGGAACCAGACTCTAGCGGGCTGCGGGACGTATTAAATCCTGTGTAATAACGAGTCTTATTCTTAACCCCTGCGCTGAGCCCCAGTGAATCCGGGCGGGCAGGCTGCCAGCTAGGCCCTGCCCTGGGGGGGAAGCAAGGAGTAAGATTAGCGCAAACACAACCCCTCTCCGCCTCCCTAAAGCAGCCGCAGCTGTTGCAGCGAGAGTTGCTGGAAACCTTCCACGCTGCCCACATTATGTCTCTGTCTCAGAGGGCCAAACCCTACTCGCTCCTGTGATACGAGCTAGGCTCCTGGGCACTGCTGCCTGAGTGCATGCCAGAGAGACGGTTTGGCCCACGGTGCCCTGAACACGAAGGGCTGTGCACTGCGAGCACACAGCCTAACTCCAAGGGGAAGAGCTGCCGCATGCATGTCCGGGGCCACACGGTGCACAAGGAACAATCGCCATTGGGTTTTTGTATTAAAACAGACACTCTGTGTGCGTCTATCTGATGTGTCTGGATTTCCCCTACCGCTGTGTAAGGAACACATGTATGTATTAAACATCACACACACACACAGTCAGGAGAACTGACAGCTCCGTGCACCTTGGGCTAAATTCTGCTCTCCACTCATCGGGTGTAAATGTAGATTAACTCCACTTGATTTAATCCGGTTTACAGGGATGCAAACGAGAGCAGACTGTGCGCCCCTGGATCCGGCTACACGCTCCGTCCAGGTACGTGTTTTCTGAGCCATGGCTATGTACACCCAGCGCCGATTCCCCGCTGGTGCGGCTCCCTGGGAGCCGCCCGCAGTCTCGGCGGGGATGAGCGCACAGGGTGTCACACGCTCCGCGCCGCCGCCGCTCCAGGCTCGGAGCCCAGTCCCAGCTCCTGGGCTCCGCACTTTCCCCGCAGCCGCCGCCAGCCCGGCAGAGGCAGCGAGCCCGTGAGGTCAGCGTCGGCGGCGCGTCGCAGGGGTGTCTCTGCTGTGGGACGGTGGCTGGGCGGGCGGGCCGGGCAGGCGCAGTGTGGGGCCCGCGGGGGGAGGCGGGTGAGTGGCTCTGTGTCTATGTGTCGCACTGACGGGGGTTACACACCAGGGCCGCCGCCGCCGCCGCACCGGGATCCCTCGCCAGCCGCAGGCCCCAGGCTTCCCCTCCGTCCCCCAAGTAAACTTCCTGCTCCCGGCCCGGCCGGGAAGGGAGCGGGGCCCGGCCGGACTCTGCCCCCGGCACACACACAACAGCTGGAGCTGTCAAAACTTCCTCTCTGCCTCGGCCCCTGCCGCCGCCCGCCCCTCCTCCGCCCCGGGGGCGCCGCCAGGGGGAGGGCGCCGCGTACAATGAAGCGGCGGCCGCCGCAGCCGGGCAGCGCAGGAGCCGGAGCAGCCGCTTGTTCCCGGGGCCTCTGAGCGGGGCGCCCCGCCGCGGGAGTGTCTCTCCCTCCCCGCCCCCTGGCGAGCCCGCTCTGCGGGGCGGTTATTGTGCGTGAGCCCCTTCCCCCCCCTTCCTTCCTCCCTCCCGGCCCTCCCGATGCCGCTCCCCCTGCTACCTGCGCTGGTCGGCGGCGGCTGAGGCCAGCGATGCGAGGCGGAGGTGGAGGAGGCGGAGGTGAGGCGGAGAGGCGCATCGGGAGCAGGAGGAGCATCGGGATCCTCATCGCCACCCTCCTCCTCATCCATGTGTCTCTCTCGTCCTGCTGACTAGGATGTCAACGGAGGACAAGAGTCTAGTCGGGGGGGTGGCGGAGCCGCCGCCGCCGCCCCAGCAGCCCCCCGAGCCCAGAGCTCCCCCCCCAGCAGCAGCCACAGACAAAAGACCTAGGGGCCGGCCTCGCAAAGATGGCGCTTCCCCTTTCCAGAGAGCCAGAAAGAAGTAAGTTCGGAGCGTGTGGGAGAGGCAGGGGACAGGGGGCAGGCAGCGCAGGGGGAGCTGTCAGCAGAGGCTCGCTCCTCAGCGCCCCCTCCCCTCTGCCCAATGCCATTTTGGGAGGGTCCCTTCCCTTCTCACCTTTCTTCTTTCTTTTCCTCCTCTGCCCGTTGCACTCTCCCCTCCTCTCCCACTGCCCTCTTCTTCTTCACCTTTGGCCTCTTTCTTCTCTCCTTCCTTTTCACTTCTCTCTTCCTTTTCTCCTCCCCTCTTTCTCTCCCCCTTTTCCCAGCCTTGCCCATGGACCCCTCTCCTCTTTCCCTTTCTTTTGCACCTTCCCTCTGCCCTTCTTGGGTCTCTCTTCTCCTCCAGAGCTCTGGCTTGCTCTCTATTTCAGCTTGTCCCTTGATGTCTTCTGGCTGTTTCTTTGGGGCTTTTTTTAAAAAAGAAAAGATTGATCTAGCCCTAACTGGATGACCCTAAAAACCTCTCTCTTTACGCAGAAGTTTAGACAGCAATTTCCTGTAGCCAAACCAGCCCCGGAGTGTGTTTGAAAGTGGAAGCTGCTTTCTCCCTGGAGCTGTCAAACAGCCTCAGACGGGGTCTGGTGGCCAGGCTAGGGGAGGGTGTAAGGTAGCAGGCACAACAAGAGGGTGGTTGGGAAGATTGTGGTGTTTTGCGTTGTTGTTTGCTGTCGCCGGTTTGCTTTCTTCTCTGGTCCCTGCTCTCCTCACGCTTCAGGCGGAACTGAATGTGCACCGTACACTTTTAGCAAACTAAAGCAGGCTGCCCCTTGCAACTGCGTCAACTATCAACAGCGCATCTCAGCCAAACCTAGGGAGCGCGTTGGAGTGATCTGCTGCGTCCATATGTGGTGCAGGTGGACTGTGGACTATGTTTGGCTTTAAATGGAAAGTCCCTTTTGTGGCACTTTTGTGTGGGAGTCAGGAATGTGTTATATCTAACGTCCATGTTCTGCTGTGTGCACTAACGAATACTCTCTGACAGTGTATATGAGTCAATTATTTATCATAATACTAATGTGTGTGAGGTGTATTAGAGAGACAAGGTGGGTGAGGTAATATCTTTGTTTAGACCAATTTCTGTCTCTCTGTTGTGAAGCAGGACTCCAAAAGGCCTCATTCCCATAGTGCTACTTATGTACCAACTGCACTCAGTTTTGGTTTTTAATGAGAGGCCTTTCCAGGATAAAAGTAAAATAAACCTGTTTGCTACTATTTTTAATGTTTATGTTCTGAATGTAATGAACTACAGGCTATGGACCATGTTGCAGGCTTAAAGTTTTAGTGTTTTTGTTTTTTAAGGGTCACAGTCAACTTGACATCTAGTCAATTTAAAACAAAAATGTTTTGTTAAAGCTAGTTTACTAAATCTTCTCCTGAATCTCCCAGTCAGTTTTTGTAGTTTTATAATGAAAGACCTTACACAAACAACAGTGGAAACAAACTGTACAGTATATGGAGAAACTGTGAAACTGACTATATACAAAGTGCTGTTAAGTGCATAAAATAAACTGAACACATAGAGGAAAATATTTTTGTTTGATCATTCAGTTGTATTGATCTTCTATGTTGTTTGTAATGAGTAAATATATTGTTTTAGATAAAAATCGGATTCATTTTTGTTTTTTGTTTTTTGTTTTCCTGTTCACAGTTTAGAGGCTTTCTAACATTGACTGTCTGGTTTTAGTGTGGCTATGTCTTCTAGTAGCTTTTAATTCATGACCCTATCCCTCTTAAATCTTTGTGTTTTGTTAAAATAATATAGATATTTCCCATAGTGGAAGTTTAAAGTGGTTAGCAGTCCTTGCTACTGTTTGTGTGCAGCTCAGTTGTAGACCAGAAGGGACCATCATGATGATCTAGTCTGACCTCCTTCACATTGCAGGCCACAGAACCTCACCCACCCACTCACTCCTGTCATAGACCCGTAACCTCTGGCAGAGTTACTGAAGTCATCAAGGGGATGGATCACTTGATGATTACCTGTTCTATTCATTCCCTCTGGGGCACCTGGCATTGGCCATTGTTGGAAGACAGGATATTGGGCTAGATGGACCTTTGTTCTGACTCAGTATGGTCATTCTTATGTTCTCAAATCGTGATTTAAAGATTTCAATCCTTGCATTCAGTACTGATTCATCTGCTTTACCCTTATATTTGAAAAAAGAAAAGGAGTACTTGTGGCACTTAGAGACTAACCAGTTTATTTGAGCATAAGCTTTCGTGAGCTACAGCTACTGAATGCATCCGATGAAGTGAGCTGTAGTTCACGAAAGCTTATGCTCAAATAAATTTGTGGGTCTCCAAGGTGCCACAAGTACTTCTTTTCTTTTTGTGAATACAGACTAACACGGCTGCTACTCTGAAACCCTATATTTGAATACTTCTTCCCATTTTATTTGTACATATAACATCTAGTTACATATGAAGCACTTGAATTACTTTTACAAAAATAGTTTTTATAAAGAAACTCTGAATGCTGCCTACTTATGCCTATGTGTCTGTGTAGCTACAGAATGTTAAAAAGTGAACTAATTTAATTCATTTTTAAAATACCGCAATTTGTGGAAAACCTAATTTCTTCCATGCCAGTTTAAGATCATCCGTGTACTTTGTGAAAAGTGAAGTGTAAGTGTAATTCCTTTCTCAATTATATTTCTAGCATTAAAGGGAGACTGCCAGTCAGTTTTAAGGAGAAATCTAGATTATTTTTTATTAAAAAAACATTTTCTAAACCTTTCAAAAATATAAATACTTATATATAAAATGTGTACCAGTGTGTGAGAGTCAGAAAATGAAACTAGCTAGAGAAAAAAGTGAAACTGTTTTTCATTAGCTATATGTAATGCACATGAATTGTGTGAGTGAAATACAAAAAGTAAAACAGACAGTTCAAGTTGTTTGTTTTTTTCCTCCACAATTTTAATATTACTGTATGTGACTTTATGCTGCAAACTGATCCTTGCAAGAGGACTTCAGTGTGTGTATGAAAAGTTTTCGTGATTGTAGCCCAAGGTGTTACAGGAACACAAGGAATCAACATTTCTAAAAATAGGATTTTGGCGTTGGTAGTAGTGTTGCTCCAGTTTATCACTGATCAGATGAAGACTGGATTGTTTTTAATCACCAGTGCTTCTGGAAAGAGAGGTTTCTTTTAAAGTATACTGTTTCGATCTTTAAACCAGTCTAATATCTTTGAATCTTAAAATTAGCTATGCAGATGCAAAACAAACATTGCATGAAAATAAAGTTTCCATTTTTTGTATGATTGCTTAGCTATGTCTTTCTCCTCTCTCCTGTGCTTTCTAGTTGGATTAATATGTCTCTTGTAAATCAGATAATAGAGCATATGTCTGAGCACGTTTTGTACCATAATCACATGTCTAAGTCACTGTTAGCCAATCAGATTGTTCAGCCACTTTATCCCATTACGGAAAATGTTCCATTGGATATTCAGTCTAAGTAATGATCTAAATAAGAACACTACACTACATTAAAACAAAATAGCTGGAGTAAAAGGATTTATGAGTTAAAGGTGCTGCCTTTAAAGAACAGTATTTGAAAAATACTCAGTTAGTAGTATTTTACCTCCTTGTTGACCATGGTTTCAAATGGATGATTGAGTTAAGACTGTTTTTCATTTTCCTATATAGGGTTTGCTCCCGTGAGATGCTCAGACCCCACAGCTCTTCACAAATGTAGGCCCTTTATTTATTTATTGTGGGAGCACAGAAATTTCCACACTAGTAGAGATTTACATAGTTCTATCTAAACTGGCATCCTGCCTCTGGCAGCAGCACTACCTGACGTGTCGTAAAAAGGCTAAAAATCCTCATAGTGCACCTAGGCTTTGTGCCATGTTCTGCATAAGAAACATGGGAACTTTCTTGTAGGTGAAGAAGGAATTGGTATACACTATGAAGGAGGGACTCATCAGTTGTCAATACCTTGAGCGTTTCTGCCTGTAGAGAAGTATGTCAAAACAGCTTTTCTGAGGATGTGGCAGAACTGAATGTATAGTTATGTGAAAGATATAGCCCCCAGGAAACATCATAGGTGAATAGTCATTTATTATCTGTGTAAGTGGCAAAAAACTTAATTAATGAACTGTTAAGGTTGCCTGGTGACAGCTTGTACCCTTCCAGAACATCAAGTTCAGTGAAACTCACTTCTGAAAATCAGGGAATACAGAATTAAGATAGGTTTCAGAGTAGCAGCCATGTTAGTCTGTATTCACAAAAAGAAAAGGAGTACTAGTGGCACCTTAGAGACTAACCCATTTATTTGAGCATAAGCTTTCGTGAGCTACAGCTCACTTCATCGGATGCAATGAAGTGAGCTGTAGCTCACGAAAGCTTATGCTCAAATAAATGGGTTAGTCTCTAAGGTGCCACTAGTACTCCTTTTCTTTTTGTGAATACAGACTAACATGGCTGCTACTCTGAAACCTATTTATTTGAGCATAAGCTTTCGTGAGCTACAGCTCACTTCATTGCATCCGATGAAGTGAGCTGTAGCTCACGAAAGCTTATGCTCAAATAAATTGGTTAGTCTCTAAGGTGCCACTAGTACTCCTTTTCTTTTTGAGAATTAAGATAAATACTCATTCAACCTTGACTCCGCCCCCTTGGTGTTGGCAATCACCACTGGAAATTATCTGCATGCATTCCAGCTGTATTCACATTGTTAGGTGTAGCTGTATTGAATGGTGGAGGAATAAATTGGAGTAGCATGGAAGAGTTGCGTTCATGATATGAGAGATCTGGGTCTAAGTCCCGCCCATGTGTGTGATTGAAGGAAGGAGATGTGTGTGCACCCTGAGGTGCCAATCTGCATCATTTCAATACAGAATTGTGTAGGTTATAATCAGTAGCAGGGCACTGGGTCTTCTTGCCATGGCTAGTGTCAGAAGTGAGGTGGGACATGAGAGCAGTCTGCGGATTTAATGAGGGACATGAGAAAGTATAGGTTTAAGTGGTATCCTGTGTGTTTAATTTCAGAAGTGTGGTATTGTCAGGTGAGTCGGCTCGGTGTTTGAGTGTAGGGCAGGTGCAGGTAATGCTTCATTACAGTGAAAAGGCAGAGTGTGAGTATGTGCATTCTGGGCATATTGGAGCATTGTTCAAAGAGGGTGAGTTAAGGTTTTGTGGGCGTGTGGGCGTTTGTTTACCTTACCTCTGTATTTCCTGGTTTTCAGATGTTTGAGTTTTGCTGAACTTGATGTTCTGGAAGGGCACAAGCTATAACTGGACAGCCTTCTCTGTGTTAATGAAGTTTTTTTTGCCATTTAACTTCATACATTTTTTTAAACAGGAAGAGAAATGTTGATAGGAGTTCGTGGTCATTTAAATCACCTGGATTTGCAATTGATAAACTACTTTGGCTAGGTAATAATATAAAGACCTAGCTTTTATATAGTGCTTGTCATGAGTAGGTCTCAGAAAACTTTACATCATTAACCCCATTTTACAGATGGAAAATGAGAGCATAGAAAGATGAGGTGACTTGACCAAGGTCACCTAGCAGGCCAGTGGCAGAGCTAGGAATTCAAGTCCAATGGTCTTTCCATTAGACAACACAGTTGCTGTGTGA